TCGTTGTATTTAAATTATTTTATTAAATAAAATTTCGTACTACTCATGTGATTCGCAATAATGCAAAATTCGGAATATAGAAATTCGTTATAGAGAACTTTGACTGTAATGAAAAAAAATATTAAGTTAAGTCAATAACTTAGTTTATTGCCATCTATTTTAATTATTTGTTCCAATTATTTGGCATATTACAAACTAAATTAATTAATTACAAGATTTTTGATCTCTTTTTTCACATGTCCCTTCCAAAATTGACCACAAATTCTCATTCAGGGTTATTCTATCACTAATCTAATAACCTTAAATATTGTTTAGAAAGAAGTTTTTTTAGTTTTCTTAACTGTGTATTTAGGGTCATTGTCCTATTGAAAGACCTAGTACCTTCCCATTACATAATATTTAAAAATGACTAATACAATTATGTTACGTGAAAAAGTTATTTAATAGATTACATATTGTAAGAGAAAATCATAATTTTTTACATCAAATTTTAATTCTGAAAACTTTCATTGCATACTGTAGAGTTATCAATAAATTATAAATACATTATTAGATTTTGAAATTAGATAATATTACTACTGGAATATGATATTACTATTATATTATAATACTACTACTGGATTATAATACTATTATTAAATTATGATATTACTATTATAACTAATCTAAGTTACTAGTAATTCTTTAATATAATTATATTAAAGAATCATTAGTGACTAATTTATACAGAGATCTAGTTGAATTGACATAGATAATTATATGATCACAGATTAGTAGACTATATATTAAATAATAATTTCTATATAAGTATTCTTAATAAAATTGTCTTAGTATACTTTTAAATTACAAAAAACTCAGTTTAAATTATTATCAATATCTTTTTTTAAACTAGTATGTAAAATTTTAAATAATATTTTTCAGTTTCAAATTTTTAAAAAAGATAATTATAATTTATCGCAGTAGCGATATATTGCTATACCTGATGTATCACGTGATTTATTAAATAAATGGCACAGTGTATTTGTTTTTTACCGTAAGATTTTCCACAGTGTATTTTTTTTTGCCGCAAGATCTTTTGAAAAGGGCTGGTTGGTTAGGTAAGCCAGCCACAGGCCACGCAGCCAACGGTTACGTAGCATTTGAGTATTGAATTTCATAGAATTAGGTTCAATTAGGGTTAGTGTTAGTGTTAGTATTTAGGGTTAGGGTTAGGGTTAGGATTAGGGTTTAGATTAGGTAAGAGTTGTAAGGATTAGTTCAGGATAGCTAGCTGCGCAGCTTTGATCTTGTGATATACAGAATCACGTGGCATGAGATAATATTTTTTGTATCAATTATGATCGTAAAAATTTTATTTGCTTACCTTTTACTTATTTTTCTTACATTTCAGCCACATTATTTGTTTTTTTTTCGTTCCTTTTTTATTTTTTTTTCTTCTTTAGCTTTTAAACACAATATAAATAGGTTAACATGGACGACGTTGCTTCGGAAATAGAATTCCTACGCGATAATGCAAGTAAGTGTATTTGTTAATGCAACGAATTTTAAATAATATAACAACGTTAAGGATTAGAATATTGGCTATATTCTTCTTCTAAGATTATAGAAAAAAGGATTAGAATCAATATGAACACGTAATTAATGATAAGCTTGTTGTTATCAGATAAATGATTCATATTCGACTATTAACTACCTGCTTTGATCTTTCTATAATAGATAATTCTAATCGGATGGATGGTGAAGTAGATTTTCCTACTAAACTAGAATCAATAACTTTATATGAAGGAAAGAAATTTTCTACTTGGGAAATTTGTGAATCATTTTTAGATGTATGGGCTAAAAAGTAAGGTTTTCGAATAATTAAAGATCGGGTGTTACATGAGGATGGTTTCATTCGTAGACGGGCATTTATATGTGATCACAGACGAACTTATGAATCAAATTCAAACAAAGACACTGGTTCTAAAAGGACTCATTGTCCTTTTTTGATTAATACATCATGTCCGAAAAACAAGAATCCTGATACTTCAGTGTTTGTCAATAAAATTGTAGACAAACATAATCATGAACTAAATAAGGATAGGATTAAATTTGAAGAATCTAAGAAGTTTACAAGTGAAATAATAGATGACATTAAGTTTATGACCATATCTTGCAAATTTGGTGCCACCGCTCAAAGGAAGTTTCTTAAAAGCAAATTTCCATTGCATCCTATTTACTTAAAAGATCTTTATGCTGCAATAAATAAGTTTCACCCAACCCACAAATCTTTATCAAATGATGAAGCAAAGATTTCGAATTAGCTTGATGAACAAAAAGAATCTGACTCTCAATGGTTCATGATACATGGGTGGGATGATGATAATGTCCTAATCCATTTATTGTGAATGACGCTGGGACAAATCGAAAATTGGATACAATATTCTGATTGTGTCCTTAACGATGTTACATATAAAACCAATCGTTATGGAATGGCTTTGTCATTGTTTGTTGGATTTAACAATGATCGACGTAATATCTTACTTGCTCAAGGTCTTCTAGCAGATGAGAGTTTTGAATCACATGTGTGGATGTTCAGCCAAATTATAGAATTAACTGGTGTACATCCAGACGTTATACTTACGGATGCTGATCCTGCTGTTGATTCAGCTATTCGTCAAGTATTTCCTTCAACTTATCCA